CCTCGACGAGGTGGGCCGGTAGGATTGAACGCCATTTTGGAGGGAAAGTGACTGCGTTGCTGGTCGACCTGGCCGACGTGACAAAACCTCTTGCTCGGACGAACCACTTCCACAAGAGGTCTGTCCAACCACTTCCACCTCTTCTGGCCCCAGCCCCTGAGGCTCAGGCGTCTGCCCAATCAGCGCCTTTTCACTTCGCCCATCAATAGCCCTACTCTGTCGTCAGATTTCAGCCCCAACTCCCCTCGTCCACGCCTCGCATTGGTTGGTGTTCCGCTCGACTTGTTCGTCAAGCCTCAATTATTTGCGGCCAAATGCCCACTGGAACAGTATGCCGAAGCATCAATTCTAGACGATTGCAGTACCGGTACCGCATAAAAAGACCAGCAAAACTGCCCAGAATGACTGTACCAAATGGGGCAAATGTGAACGACCAGTTTGCAGTTTGTGCACCAATTCAATCTACCAGTCAACAGCCAATTGAACGAATGCACAATTGGCTGGTTAGTTGTTTAATAGGTCCTTTAATTGCCAACATTCTATAAATAAATTTAATAATTTCAATTAATCACTCAACCACCGATCATTTAATCAATTTACCCAAGCGTACATTATTCATGAAATCCCTGCCATAAACCTTTATTTAATTCACTTGCTACTCAAATAGTCATTTAATTAATATATTAACCTAATAAGCAATCAATTCATCAATTCAATCTTTCGCGGGTTCCATCAGAAATTCAGTTAATTGATCATTTATTTAATCAGTCAGTCAATCTTCCCTCATCTAAATCATTAAATCAAGCCAGCACACTGTTCACAATTTAGTCAATAAGCAATTAAATTATTCATTTATTCAATTATAATGAGTAGTAAATTGATTGTGCACTTAATTTAGTAATCAGACAGTCGTTGACTTGGACAATCATTAAATAATTCATTCAATCGCTACCTAATTCGGCCATTCACTCATTAATTTCCCCAGCTCCTTCAATAAAACATATTGCATTTAGATTTTAATTTCCAATTAAAAGTCGGATAGGAGGCATCCTTAGTTTGGCTTTATCCGAACCCATGCCAGGTCAAGATTGGCACAGCATGCCTCCAGTCCAAAT